CTCCCTTCTTTCCTTCCTTCCTTCCTTCCCTCCCTCCCTCCATCCCTCCCTCCCTTCCTTCCTCCTTTCCATTTCCCAGTACCTGTTACACAGAGAAACAATGCAGTATTTACATGTGTGTCTGATTAATTGCACTTAGCAGTGTGGTCTCGGGCCTCGAACCCTTTTAATCTGGGTTGCAACTTTGGGAATGACTTGCTCTTTCCATCAACAAATACCATAGCCATCACCAGGGAGAGGAACACAGATGTTTCAGTCTGTGTGGGGCCATCCTCTGCATAGGATCCCTCTAAGACATCCACATAGGTTTGTTCAACTAACCTGTGTCATAAAAGCCAGAGTCGGAGTCAAAGATTTGTGAGTTATCATGATACAGAGGTCATGAAGACATGGAGATGGCTAGGATTAAAAGGAAAGTATGTTTTAAAAAATGTCTGGAAAATAGTTGTTAATAAATACAGAATTAGTGAATGGATAGATGGATACCTGAATATTAGTATCTCCTCGTGTTAATTGTTCATTTTGCTGATCCTTTTCAGTCTTGTTCAGACTGAATTCTTTTAAGACCAATTCAAAGTAAAGCTCTTTGATCCCTTTTTAAAGGGAGATTTAAAACAAAATGACTTAATGACCTAAGGAAATTAATAAGCATGCTAATTTTTTTCATCAAATACTTTATGAATAATGAATGATCTAATCCCCTTTTTGAAATTCTTCTGTGGTTTATAACTGAATATAGGAAAAATAATTTTTTAGCATGACATGTAAAGGAGAAATTATTTTCAAGTATAGTATCTTTAAGAGTTACATCTTTGCTTTATAATCAGATGGTCTCAGGACCTGAACGTAGACATTGTCTGTCTTTCTTTTTCTTTTTTGGAAACAGTGTCTTTGTATTGAGCAACACCACTACCCGCCTGCCTTTTAAAACTTTGAGACAGCGTCTTGCTAGCTAGCCCAGGCTGCCCAAGCTAGCCTCCCAATTTGTAACGGTCTTGTGTCAGTCTCCCGTGTGCTGGGATGACAGGCGTGCGCCTCCATATGAGGGTCAGTAACGTGCATCTCTTGTGTTGACTAAGTTAGCTGAGGTAAAATGCTTGGGGAGTATGTCAACTGTGAAGAGAACTTATTTTCTCCCCAGTATTGCATATTGAATTCCTGCTTTTCTTAGAGACAAAAATCAGTATTTCTTACTGGCACTGACTGATGTCACTGGAGTAATGTAGGGACAGGCAGAGGTCAGGATATTTTTTAGAAGTATGACCATGTTTATTTAGTACAGGTTAATGAACTGTAGATAGTGACTTGGAAAGAGAGCATTAGAGTAAAAAAATAGGTTTTGGAGAGAATAACTATTAAAGGGTGGGTTTTTTCCTAGACAGAAAAGGACAAGAAAGGCAACACTTGTTACAGAGGTTTGGGGTTGGAAAAAAACCTGGTTCATACTTAGGCTGTTTTTTGAAGCATATCCCCCACCGTCTTTCTCTTTTATTGGGATCAAGTAGTATCTGGGCACAGTAACAACAGAAGGACCCGTCAGGTGAGAAGCAATTGTGACTCTGTGCTGGGAGAGGAGAAATACAGAAGCAGCTGCAAAAGCCTCGTGCAGTGTTGTGCTGAAGACCTGCTGGGGAAGGAAATCTTGTGGAAAAGACCACAGTTAGAGGACCATGGCCTTTGAAGGGGAGATGATAATCGCCTTTATCGAGTACCTGTCTTGTGTGTTGAAGCAGTATTATTCCTACCATAGTTAACAAAGGACGGGACTGACAGAGAGATTCATGTTCCAAGCCCAGACCTCGCGCTGTTATTTTCAAAGCTGAAGTCCCCTCTCCCTGAAACATTAATGTGGAACCCAGTACCCTCTTCCCATAAAACCTAAATTGATTGAAATCAGAGAAAGAGCGCCTGAAGCCAGGCCACGCAGGTTCTTTGGCTTTTTCAGTTTTATTATGAGCCTGGAAGGCTCTGAGGCACCCTGGAGCTGCAGCTGACAGTCGCTGCATGTCCCTACTGCTGTTCTCCATGGCTTGGAGAAGGTGCTTGAAAGTTGCCTGAAAAATGTCCTCGGCTGCCTTCTGTTTGGTGTTAGTCTGGCAGATCCTGCCATGAGAAGGTTATTAATGGAGGTGACCCCACATACTGGACCTGTGTTTGTTAACAGCACTTCTTGTCAGAAATGTGTATTTAGGGGTTTACTTCTCTTTGCCTTGAAGGTTGTGGCAGCACTGCCTGAAGAAATGAGACCAGGCCCCGCTGCCTATGGTTTATCGTGGGAATTGGTGATAGGGGCAGCTATCGTTGGTTTTTTTGCTGTTCTCTTATTTTTATGGAGAAGTTTTCGATCGGTAAGTAACCAATATGTACTAAGAGAATGTTTATTCTTATTAAATGTTTTTAAAAATTAATTCATCTTTAGACTGAACAAGTAATATGAGAAACACATTTGTTATTTAAGGAGACCAGTTAGGTTGTAGTTTTGTGAGTTACTCATATTAGTGTGTGTCCACTAGAACACAGATTTAGAGGAATTTTTTGTATATGTGCATTTTATTTATTTATTTATTTATTTTTGGTATCGGGCATCGAACTCAGGACTTTACGCTTGCCAGGCAGATGCTCGTGCCTCTGAGCTATGTCCCCCGCCCTGTGTGTGCACTTTAAATAATTTCTTTGTGGAAGCATTCTGCACTAATGCTAAAACTCTACCTTACTTTCTTCATTCCCCCTCCTCTCCCTCTTCCTTCTCTCTTTCACCTCTCTGCTGTCTTCTTTTGGGGGGTCTGTGTTTGTTTTAACAGACATCTGTGTGTGGAATCAAAAGCATTGTCACTTACCTTCAGGTGGCCCTCTCTCATTTCATCCTCTACCTCCCTGTATTGGAGGTGACCCCTTTTTGGAGCCTGTGTTGGTTACTCCCTTGCCTTTAAAAAGCTGTTTTTGGGGTTGTAACATAACCTCTAAAAGTATACTTTAAAATTCTACTTGGCTTCATGACATATGTCATCTTTTAAGCTTTTTTACTCATTTTTTGTGAAGACTCTTCTATATTTTAATCTTTTTCTTTATTTTGTTTTTTTTTTTTTTGGTTTTTCTCTGGTACCGGCAACCGAACTCACAACCTTGTGCTTGCCAGGCAGGCGCTTTGCCGCTGAGCTAAATCCCCAGCCCCTCTTCTGTATTTTAATTTATTTATTTTTTGTGGTGCTGGAGATCAAACCCATGACTTTGGACATACTAGGGCAGGAGCTGTGCTGCTAAGCTTTAACCTCCAGCCCCTCGTCCATATTTTTAAATGAGGTTTTAACTTTACCCATATTGATTGCTCTAGAATACTACATTCTAAGAGTACACTGTAGTTTATTTGCAGACTTTATGGTCTTGGCAATTTGAATTGTTTTTAGACTTCTATTACAAACAGTGTTACTGTGTACATTTTAAATTCATATCTCCTGTTGTGTATTTGTAAGTTTCTCTTGAGAATATACCTACCTGTGAGATTGCTAGGTTCTGGAGCATGTGGAGGTTTGACTTTTAAAATTCTTTTCTGACTCACTTGTACTGATTTATGCTCCTACCAGTGGTGTGTAAGAGATTCTAGAGATCCATTTGGTCTATGTCCTCCCCAAAATCTACTCTTGTTGAAATCCTTGATTTTTTTGTCATTGGAATGGATATAAAATGACACCTTATGGCCTTGCTATGAATCCCTTGGAGGAAATCTTTCCAGTAAATATGCTAGTCAGTCACATGTATTAGTTCTTCTTGGAAATCTTTGTTTTTTGAAAAATTTTCTATTGAGTAGGTTGTTGTTTTCTTATTTGTAGCAATTCTTTACATATATATTTATTTATTTATTTGTTTTTTATTTATTTATTTATTTATTTATTTATGAGACAGGGTCTTGCTGTATCATTCAGGCTGTCCCCAAACTCACTGTATAGCCCAGGCTGGCCTTGAATTTGCAGCAATCCTCCTGCCTCAGCCTCCCAGTGCTGAGATTACAGGCCTGCACTGCCATGCCTGGCTTTATATATTATTGACACTACCTCATTGAGTATGGGCCACCTGTCCCAGTGTGAAATTCCTTTTTATTGTCTTCATAATTTTTAAAATGATGAACAGAATTTTTAGTTTTTGTTTTTATTTATTATTTTTTTGAGACAGGGTCTCACATATAATTCAGGCTGGCCTTGAACTCACTTTGTAGCCCAGGCTGGCCTTGAACCCATGGATCTTCCTGCCTCAGCCTCCTGAGTGCTGGGATTATAAGCGAGTACCACTATACCCAGCTAGAATTCTCAGTTTTAAAGTTTTGCTTATAACACTGAAGACCTTGATCCATGTTGTTAGTTGTTTTGTGTGGTGTAGAGTAGAAATTCAGTATAACTTCTTTCCTCAGGGAGTGAATATTTTCCCTTTATTCTGTGTATATTCATTCCTTTTCATCTGCAGTGCTGCAGATTAGAGTTTCATATATCTGTGGGTCTTCTCTATACTTTTATTTAATTAATTTTTTTGAAAGCAGATACATATATATATTCATTTTTATTTTTTCCCATAGTTCAAGCTTATTAATTTACTAATTATATTCACTTTTTTTTTTTTTTTTTTAGGTAGGGTCTTGCTGTCTAGTTCAAGCTGGCCTTGAGTTTACTATGTAGCTGAGGCTGACCTCAAACTTGCAGGGATCCTCCTGCTTCAGCCTCCCTAGTGCTAGGATTACAGGTGTGTGCCATCATGCCTGGCATGTTCATAAATTTTTATATATTTATATTTTTCATCTATCAAAAATGAAGAGAAATGGCTGCATTCTACTGTCATGGATTTATCATCTATTTTTCTGTCTTTTCTTATACATATTTGGAGGATAGCTTTTAGGTGTATACGTGTTTGGAATTACCGTGCCATGGTGAGTTGAACCTTGTCAGCATTTGGTGACCCTCTGTAACTCTAGCAATGCTTTTGTTCTCAGGTCTTTTTTTAGCTGATGTTAATAAAGCCATAGGACCTTTTTGACTGATAATTATCTTCTATCCTTATCATTTCCAGGCTTTCCATAGTCTCTACTTAATGTATTCTGGATTTTGTATACATTTTCTGATACATACTAATTTGGCTATCTCTTTTTCACTATTAGCTGTAGTCTACCTACATATACTATAATTGTCAATGTATTCGAACTGGTTTCTTACAGTTTAGCTTATTAATTTGTTCCATTTTTCCTACGTTTCTTTTAAATTCTTTTCATAGTGATGAGTAAATCTTTTTTCTAGAAAGACAGTGTCCCTTAGTACACTTTCTCTTGGTGTCCCTTTTAACTTTCCAGTTTACAACATGTTATCATCTAGATTTTTTTCTGGATTATTAAAGGTATATTTCTCTTTTTTCTAGTTTTTGTTCTTAATTTTTTCTTTTACCTTTCTTTTATCTTCAAGACAATAAATACCAAGGTATTTAATCACCCTTAATTGGTATCTCTTGCTGGGTCTTCTGGATTTCTTATATTGAATACTTTCAAGATTGTTTTTAGTGTGTCTGTGTCAGACAAATCTTCTGAAACTTAATTTGAATTCTTTAGTTTTTTTTGGAGGGGGAGATATGGTTTTATTGTGTTCCTTGGGCTGGCTTAAAACTCCTGAGTTCAAATGATCCTCCTGCTTCAGCTTCCTGAGTGGCTGGGATTACAGGGGCAAACCACTGTGCCCTGCTCTTGAGTGTGTTTGAATTAAGTCCTCTTGGGGTGGCAGTTTGTTCAGATACAAACAGTCTTAAGTCTACGGTTGTCCTTCCTTTAAAACCTTGCTGTTTTTTCATTTTGTATCTGGTGATACTTAGTAATGTCAACGTGATTCTTTTTCATTTGTGAGGAATTTTTTTTTTTTTTTTTTTGTGATACTGGTAATTGAACCTACGGCTTTCACACTGAGTTGTATCCTCTGCCCTGTTATAATATTTAATATTGAGACAGAGTATTGCTAAGTTGCCTGGGCTGGGCTTGGATATGATTGTCTTGCCTCCCAAGTACTGGGATTACAGTTGCACACAACCGTGCCTGGCCTTTCTTCTTCATTAAACATTTTTTTTCTCCTTCTGGGGCTTCTGTGTTTTAGGTTGTCCCTTGTGCTCACTTTCAGATGCCTTAACTTTTATTTCTCAGTTTCTTTGTGGCTTTCTGTTACTTTTTTAATTTCTCAGTGTGCAGTTTCAGTTTCCTAATCTCCTGCTCTTCCATACCATTCTGCTGTGCTTCTCTTCTACATTTGCTGTTAGTTGTACCTCAGCACACAGTTTGTAGGTGACCTAAGTCCTCCTCTTTTGTCTTTTCTACTCAGTGGTGCCACCTCAGCCCCAAAACTGACTCTTTTACAAAGGATTTATTGCCCTTCATTATTTGAGAGAAAACTTCGAGAAGAAAAAGTTTGTTTATGGTTTCTTTAGAGTCAGTTCAGATCAAGATTTCTCAGACTTTTATTTTGGTGATGGGGCATGATAATGGGGACTTCTTGAAGTAGTTTGTTTCAGGACCAAATATGTTTAGGAAACTGTGGGTTAAATGAAATTAAACGTGTATCTTTACACCAGACTGATTTTAGAGTCTTTAACAGGGCCATGTACAGTGTGAATCATCAGTAAGGACTGTAGCATTTTTCTCATGGGACATAGAACACTTTTGACTCATTCATAGTAAGGCAATAAGAAATCTGTTATTATCTTTATGTTTTTGAGTAGAAGCTAAATAAGTTAAATTGACTTGAATGTATTTGTTTTAATGTAATTTTTGTTAAAAATGTGTTTCAGGTTAGAAGCCGTTGGTATGTGGGTAAGCTGATTTTCCATTTTATCTCATTGTGCATAATTTTAAAACTTGTAATTTATTTATGATATATATGTATATCCATCGTTCTTTCTTCCAGGGAGAGAAAAGCAGCTTGCTGTAAAGCTTTCTGAACTAATTGAAGAAAAATGTAAACTACTTGAAAAAGTTAGCCTTGTTCAAAAAGAGGTAAGGCACTGTTGGAAATGACGCTCATATTAGAGTTAGGCAGCTTTGTACTTCTCTGTGTGGCTACTTCTATGTAAATTTGTCATTAATACTTTGCACACTTTTCAAGTTCTGTTGCTACTTTTTTTTTCTTCTTTTTTTTTTTGGTACTGGGAATTGAACTCAGGACCTTGCACTTGCTAGGCTTGTGCTTATGCCACTGAGCTATATTTGGGCCCTAGGTAACTTCAGTGCTTAACCCCCATCTTATTAACAGTAGTCATTGTGCTAGGTGTAAAGTGTTTTCTCACCGTGGTTTCAGTTTGTGTTACCGCATCTTTCTATATGTTTATTGCCCATTTTGATGTTCTTTTTGTGAAGTTGCCTTTTTAAGTTATTTTCATATTTTTGAAGGTATAGTTATCTGCCTTTTTCCTTTTTAATATGTAGGATTTTTTCTGTGTTTCTGGTCTAAGGAAATATTTGCCTCTCCTAATGCAGTGCTGCGTGCTTGTAATCCCAGCTACTTTGCAAGCTGAGGCAGGAGGACTGAAAATTCAGAGCAAGTCTGGGCTACATAGGGCTACATATGTCTCAGAAAAAAAAAAGAGATAAGAAGAAAAAAGAAGCTGACTGGAAGTGGTGGCACACGCCTGTAATCCCAGCAATGGCACGGCTAAGGCGGAAGGATTGTTGTGAGTTTGAGCCTTACCTGGAATACATAGTGAGTTCAAGACCAGACTGAACTACATAGCAGGACCTCTACTCAACAAAATGAGACAAGACAAGACATCTGGGATGTAGTTCAGTGGTAGAGCTCTTTTGTCTGCCTAGCATGCATGAGGCCTTACGTTCAATTCCCAGTCCATGGGCTCTATTATATTATTCTGCTTATGTCTTTTAAAAATCCTGTTTATATCTTTTTAAAATCCCTTCTTGTGTACATTTTTTGTGTTGTGGTTTTGCATATCTTTTCTTAGATTTATTCCTAGGTCTGTCTCTTTTTTTAAATGGCATTATTGGGATATAGCTACATACTATACCGTCCACTTATCTGAAGAGTATAAATGAGTGATTGTTAGTCTATCCATAGAGTTGTGCATCCTTAAAAGCAATCAGATTTTTTGGAGGGGCAGGTACTGGGCACTGAACTCAGGAAAATGCTTGTGCCCCTGAGCTATATCCCTGGCCCAGCAGTCAACTTTTGAAAGTCTTTATTATTCTCCAGAGAAACCTTAAACCCCTTAATTAATGCCTTTATCCAGTTTGTCCTACTTCAAATCCCTGTAATGATTTATTTACATTCTATGTCTGTAGATTTGCCTTTTCTACATATGTCACACAGATGGAATCATAGAACACAGTTCTTCCTGATTGATTTCTTGTAGCATGGTGCTAAACAAAATGCAACAATTTCACTTGTAGGCATATACCCAAAAGAGATTATTTTGTTCATGTTGTTACATAATTAGAATTAATTTCTTTTTTTTTTTCAAGTAATGCTACTTTTTGTTTGATTGAATTTTGGTTTATTTTTGGTAATTCTGTGAAGAATGCCACTGGAATTTTGATAGGGATCTCTTTGAGTTTATGTATTGCTTTAGGTATTATGGATGTTTTAATAATATTCTAATCCATGATTGTAGAATATCTTCTCATTTGTTTTGTCAATTTCTTTAACCATTGTTTTTTTAGTTAACAATGTGTAAGTTCCTTTATATCCTTGGTTAAAATTATTCCTAAAATTCTTTTTGAGGTACTTATAAATGAAATTGTTCTTAATAGCTTTTCCAGATAATTTATGTTAAGAAATTATACAAATTTTGTATGTTGATTTTATATTCTGTAACTTTATTGAATTTATTAGATTTATATTGTTTTGGTGCAGTCTTAAGGGTTTTCTATATGTAGCATCATCCCTAATGAAATAGAGATCATTTCACTTCTTCCTGTCTGATTTGGATAACTTTTGTATCTTTTCTTTTTCTTCCAATTAGATTTTCTTGGTACATTTTAGATACACATAATGATCACATTCATCATAGAGAATTGTACCTATGCATGATACAACCTTTTTTCCCATTTCTCTACCTCCCATAACTCTTCTTCCCTTATCCATTTACAAAAACTGTTTCCATTTTTTTCTCATTTTTTTTACCCCCTTATTTGAACATATCCTTCCTATTTCACAACACCTGTTATACATTTTGGTCCTTATTTACACTTTTGGTTTCTCACACCAGAGAAACAATGTGGTATTTACACTGTGTGTCCGATTTATTTCACTTAAGAGAATGGTCTTGAGGTGCGTCCATTTACCTAGAAATGTCACGAGCTTATCCATTTTACGGCAGAGTAAGTGCTCTGTTGTATAAAAAAACCCACGTCTTCCTTATCCATTCACCAGTTAATAGGTATTTGTGCTTTTTCCAAGATTTGCTGTTACAAACTGCTGCTCTAACCATGGGTGTGCTTCAGCTTTAAACTCTTTCAAAAGAGAAAAAAATTAACTGGGTATAGTGGTACATGTCTATAATCCCAGCACTTGGGAAGTTGAGACATGAAGGTTGCTGTGAGTTCAAGGTCAGCCTGAACTACACAGCTGCACAGTGAGACGCTGTGTCAAAACACGTGCACCTTCCTCCCCCGATCCCCACCATACTGGGGATTGAATGCGGGGCTCCAGCTGTGCTAGGCCCATGCTCCACTAGTGAGCTATAATAAACCCCTAACCTAACTGCTTCTCTTTTATAAGGTTTCTTGGGATTATGTTGGGTTTATCAGTATAATCCTGAGTATTCTCCTGATCTCAAGATTCTTAATCATACATGGAAATTTTGAGCAGTAGGGAGAGGTTATTGGTCAGTCAAGCTCAAGGTTCTGTCCTGAAGCCTGAGCTGCTTGGCTCACCTGACTTGACAGGTGCTGAACTCTTTTTTGTTGTTGTTGTTTTATCCTCTCAGCTGTTGGTTCTGAAACATTTACTCAGTTTCTTCTCTAGCAGCCTTTACTTTTGGGGGAAGAAGAAACCTCAAACGCAGGGTTTGCCTCTGGAGAATCCTTCCTTTAAAATAAATTCTCAGCATTTGAATGGCTCTCAGGCCTGCAGATAGATTTTTTTTTTTTTTTTTTTTTAGTCTGTTTTTCTTGTTCCTAGCAGGAAGGGTTGTTCAAAATAACCAAGTCTTTTTAATCACTTTTTTTTTTGGTTTTTCTCCAGTGCTGGGAACCATACTCACGACCTTGTGCTTGCCAGGCAGGCGCTTTTTGCCGCTGAGCTAAATCCCCAGCCCCTCACTTTTTATTTGAAGTCTTGACTTGCTGTCTCGGTTACTTTTCTCTCGTTGCTGGGACAAAATACCTGATGCCCAAAATTAAGGAAGGAAAGGTTTATTTCCGCTTACAGTTTGTGGAGGTTTCAGTCCGTACTTGGCAGAGTGGCACATGGCAGAGAGCTACAGCTCATGGCGACAGAACGCAGCAAAGCAACAAGCACTCACACAAGGGAGGAAATGGCCAGAAGCACCCTCTTCCTCTCCCTTACATATGCAAACTATTCACCCCAGGGCGGGTGCAGCTCTCACACCCATAATCAATCAAACTCTAAAAGCCTGCCCCATGGCCGCATGAGGCTTTGGGGGGACACCCAGACACAAACCATAACACTTGCCTTCAGCATTGTGTATTTTTCATTTGTTGATGGTTGTTCTCTATATTTTAAAGGCTTTATATGCCCTGCTTACTGTATTTGTCATACCATAGGAAATTAAAAGTGAAAATTTCTGGCCCTGGGCAAAAACCTGTCATCTCAGCACTATGTAAGGCTGAGGCAGGAAGACTGCAAATTTGAGTCCATCTTGGGCAGTTTAACAATTTGATGAGACCCTGTCTCAAAATAAAAGAAAAAAAAAGAGGACTGTAGATGTAGCTAAGTACAGATACCCTGAGTTCAGTCCCTGGGGAGTTGCCTTCCCAAATGAAAAATTCTGATGGACAGTTACTATAGCGTTCTCTTATTGAACAGACTTAGAGATTTATGTATACACAAATATACGTCTTCTTTTGGAGGGGTGGTGGTAGGTCTGGGGATTGAACTCAGGGCCTTCATACTGACCTACCTTTCCTATCCTTTTTTATTTTTATTTACTTATTAAAAATTTTTTTTCTGGCTTTTTGAGACAAGGTCTCACTATGCTGTTCAGGCTGGTCTTGATCTTACTATCTAGCCCAGGCTGGCCTCCAACTTGCAGTGATGCTCTTGCCTGGACCACCTGAGTGCTGGATCACAGGTGTGCATTGCCATGCCCAGCCCCTTTTTTATTTTGAGACAGGGTCTTGCTAAGTTGCCCAGGCTGGGCTCATCCTTCGGTTTCAATTTCCCATCCTGAGTGGGATTACAGCCATGTGCCACCATGTCTGGCTTCAAAAAATACACTTTTTGTATAAATATTTGGGTAATCTTTATTATAACCTTTCTGTTAAAATTATTACTTCCTTTTAAGTAAAGAATGCTCATATGAGTTACTTTCTTGTGTTTTCTAAGAAGAGGACTTTGGACAGCTTTCTTAGTCTTGGAGAAGTTCCATGAGATGTTCAAGCTAGTGCCTTGTGATGTCTTAGCTGCTTTTGTTTGTGAGAGTGGCCAGCTTTGATGCGAGAGAAAGCTAAGTAAATCCAAGCACATTTAACATATGTGTGGAGGGGGCTAGGGATTTAGCTCAGCGTCACAGTGCCTGCCTGGCAAGTGCAAGGTCATGAGTTTGATTCCTGGTACTGGAAGAAAAACAAAAACAAAACAAACAAACAAAAACAACGTACATATGGAGCTAGAGCTGTCTGCTTTTTAATGGCAACCTAGATGGTATTTGGAATAAAATTTGTAATTTTTAACTTCTGTGCTGCCTTGTTTCAGTGTGAAGGCTTAGAGTCTTTGTTAAAGGGTGCCGGCCTTGAGAAGGACTCAGCGGAAGCACAAAGTCTAGAGGTAAAAAATTGCGATGTAGCTTAAAAGTCTGGGACAAAGGTCTTATTAAGTAACATGAAGTTTGAAAATCATGTATATTCTCAGAATGATTTCAAAGAAGTGTGCAAGAGCATCTCTGGATGTTAAAACTTAAGGAAATAGTTAAGCAGAGTTAGCAGGACAATTTGACTTCTTGTTGAGTGAGCCTTGAGTGAGACATAATTAATTTACTGGAATCTAGACGTGTCTAGAGTGTTTTCATTCTTCATTCCTAAGAAATGAGTTAAGGTGCCTGTTCCCTTTTTGATTCAGTTTGCTTTAGAAAGGGGAAATAGGACTCTTGGTCACCAGTTTAGGGGTAATTGGAAACAGTAAGTTGTATAAATTGTGACAGTATTTGCCTTCACTTCATCCACTGGAGAGCAGGAGCTAAGGTAGGCCGAAGGTATTTATTATAAGTAGGGGTGTGTTGGTAAATGTTTAACAAGTGCTGTCTGAAAAGCATTTGCTGAATTCTGTGGTATATATACTTCCACCATGGGCAACTTCAAGCTACCAGCATGATGTCCCTGAATGAGAAGTTTGGAAGAGATCTACACAGGTGACTTTTTCCTACACTAGGTGTGATTCAGCTAATTACACAGAAGTATAGTGATTTGTAGTGTAGAATTCCTGTAATGATATAGTCAGATTTGGGGAAATTTTTGTAAATGAGTTTTTTAATTACTATACTATCTTTTGGTTTATTATTTTTTTAAACAAGTTTGATGAAGGATCACAAATATCAGAGGTATGTTTTATTTAAAATCCATTTGGAATAATCCAATAACGAATCACTTTAAATTAAAAAGTTTATAGGAAATATGTCATAATTCAATGGAGACTATTATCATAACGCATTCTTAATTGGTTTTAAAGTTTATTATTTATGTTTTTATATTAGATTTGTTTCTCATATTTTCCTTAACATGCTTTTTAACATGCTTTAGAACAGAGGCTGGCAAACTGCTTAGTAGATTTTCTGCCATTTTTTGTAAATAAAACTTTATTGGAACATAGCCATGTTCATTGTTTCTAATAATGATATAGTTAAATATGACAGAGACTGTGTGGCCCTGAAGTTGGAAATATTTACTTTCTGACATCTTGTAGAAGTTTGATCACCAGTGCTAGAATTGCTATTATCTTAATATTGTAAAACTGAGCAAATATATAAGCTACACAAGTACATATGTTTCATTATATTCATCTGATTTACCCTAGCCAGAATTCCCCGTGTCTGTCTGATAAGTTTGCTTTCTATTTTAGGAAACCTATGAAGAGCTGGACAGGAACAAATCTAAGCTTGAAGAAGAAATACTCTTTCTAGAAAAAGAGCTAAAAGATGAGAAATCTAAGCGTTCTGAACAAGATGAATTGGTAAGGCTTTTGTATTTGAGGAGAATGTAAGTGAAAGTTTTGAGTTTTAAAAATTAATATGGTGTTAGTTAGAAGATTACATCCACTGTAAAAAACCATGCAAAGAATATAGGAGGTTATAAAGTGGAAAGCAAAATTTTCCAAATGTGTCCTTCACTTCCTAGAAGTTATCCTAAGTTTCATGCATGTTCTTTTTTTTTTTTGGTCCTGAGACAGGGTCTCATTATGTAGTTCAGGATGGCCTTGAACTCATTATGTAGCCCAGGCCGTTCTAGAACTCACAGTGATCCTTCTGCCTCAGCCCCCTGAGAATTAGGATTACAGGCCTGTGCTGCCATGTCTAGCTCTCATGCATGTTCTTAAAGACATGTTCTATATGTGTAGAAGTAACTCAAAGAATTTAAATTATATGATCACATACATAGTAAATTATATATAGTGAACATTATAACTTTGTCTTTTTATTTTAAAATCTGGCTTAAGGAAAGTCTTGATGTGTGTGAGATCATTTAATAAGATTTGATATTGGTGGACTTACCTTGAACTTGTGTGAGTGCTATGAAATATCAAAGTTGAGATGAAGTAGTTATATAACTTCGGCATAAAATCCCTATCGGCATATGGTAAATTAACTGAAAGTTGATTTGCACCCTCACTTGTGAAACAAGAGTGTTAGCTTAGCAACATACTATATTTATGTATAGAATGGTTTAGTGAATTCTTGTCTATTGATTGGTACTCTGTTTGCAGAAGGCCAGTGTTTCAGAAAAGATACAGGCCCTAGAAGATGAATCAAAATCCCTCAAATCCCAAGTAGCTGAAGTAAGTTCAATTAGTCTAATGGGTCTATTGCTTGTGAAAATAATTTAATTTTATTATTTTTATTATTAAGGAATAAAATACTATATTAGGATTTGATGTATAGTTCTTAGAAAAAGGTTTACTTTTCACTGGGCAAATATTTATTGCTGCTGTTGTATACTGAACAGTATTAGTTGAACTTTCCGTCACAGAGACACAAGATAAATAGGTAACAAAATTTATTGCACAGTACGTAGAAGGTTTTCAGTGGTGAAATCATTTGTCCAAGATCACTTGGCCAATTGGTGGCAGTCAAGAATAGATCCTGATTCTAGGTCAGCCTTGTTCTTCTAAAACTTGATGACTTTGCTATCAATATTGGCACATATTACCTTTGCTTAAATTACATGTTTAAGGTAATAGAAATGTAAATATGAATGTTTGTTAGGTTAATTGTTATAAACTATAGTTTCTTTTTTACTTAGGCCAAAACAACCTTTAAAATATTTCAAATCAATGAAGAGCGACTTAAGGGAGCAATAAAAGATGCAAAGAATGAAAATTCCCAACTTCAGGAAAGCCAAAAACAGGTTTGTATTCCGTAGAGATTCTTCACCTTGTGACTGTGTAGTTACAGATCCACTGGTCACACACATGGCTGATCCCTGCTATGTATGTTTAAAAGCTTGTGGAGGATGTTTATTAGTGGTTGTAACAAATCAGAGTTAGGAGTTAGACTAGGAAGAGTCAGGAAGTTCTTAAATATATTGCGTAAAGCAAATAAAATCTCAAATCAGTTCTTACTATGAGAACGAGCCTGTTCAAGAAAACCACTATAGTCCTTAAGGAGTAGTGACAGTATTCTAGAAGTAGCTGCTACCACTTTTAGAATATATAGCCTAAGAAAAATCTTTTTCTTTTTATGTCCCTGTAGCACAAAGCAGACTAGCATTTCCTTTTTTCCTTCCTTCCTTCCTTCCTTCCTTCCTTCCTTCCTTCCTTCCTTCCTTCCTTCCTGCCTTCCTTCCTTCCCCCCTCATGTCCCCTCTACTCCCTTCCCCTCCCCTCCCCATCTCCCCTTGCTCTCCCTCTCCCCTTCCCTCTCCCTTTCCCTCTTCCTTCTCCCTCCT